GTATGTTCTTGAGTTTTATATGAATAGAATCAAACAGTATATACTCTCTTTTTCTCTGTCTTCTTTCACTCAGCATAGGGATTTGGAGATTTATACATGATATAGTGTGGATCAACAGTTCTTTTTTTTATTGCTATGTAGAGTTCCATTGTATGGATATATCGCAGGTTGTTTCCATTCACTTGTTCATGGACATTTGTGTTGTTTCTAGTTTTTGGCTTTATTACAGATAAAACTGATGTGAACAAATGTAGACTGTCTTTTAAAGGTCCTAGACTTAAATTTCCTTGGATAAATACCTAGGAGTGGAGTGTCTGGATCATACAGTACATGTATATTTAATTTTTGGAAGAACTTCCAGACTTTACAAAAATAACTGTAACATTCTACATTCCCACCTGTAATATAAGAGATTATCAGTGCTTACATATTTTAAATTTTATTCTAGGTGTGTAGTGATTTTTCCATTACGTTGTTAAATTTCATTTCCCTAGTAAATAAGGGTGTGCATCTTTTTATGTTTTATTTGCCATCCATATATCTGCTTTGATATCGTGTCTAAGTCTCCCATTTTTTCCTTGGGTCTTTGTGTTCTTATTATTGAGTTCTAAAAATTCTCTATAGATTCTGGATAAAAGTCTTTTATCATATATATGCTTTGGAAGTATCTCCTCCCAGTCCATGGCTTACCTTTTCATTTTTTCACAGGGCCTTTTGGAGAGCAGACATTTTTTATTTTGATAAAGTCCAATTTATCAATTTGTTCCTTTATCGATCTTGCTTTTAGTGTAACCCAAATCACAAAGATTTTCTCCTATACTGTCTTCTAGAATTTTTTTTTTTTTTTTGCGGTACGCGGGCCTTTCACTGTTGTGGCCTCTCCCGTTGCAGAGCACAGGCTTCGGACGCGCAGGCTCAGCAGCCATGGCTCACGGGCCCAGCCGCTCCGCGGCATGTGGGATCTTCCCGGACCGGGGCACGAACCCGTGTCCCCTGCATCGGCAGGCGGACTCTCAACCACTGCGCCACCTGGGAAGCCCTGTCTTCCAGAATTTTTAAGGAATTAAGTTTACATTTAGGTCTATGATTCATTTTGAGTTAATTTTTGTGTATGGTATGAGGTATGGTTGAAGTTCCTTTTTTTACATATGGATATACCAGTTGTTCAAGCACCATTTGTTTAAAATACTATCCTTTCTCTACTGTATTTCCTTTGTATGTTAGTTGAAAATTAGTTGTCCATATATGTGTGGGTCTATTTCTAGATACTCTGCTCCATTTATCTGTCTGTTTTGACACAAATACCACACTGTCTTGATTACCATAGTTTTACAGTAAATCTTAAAATTAAAAAAAAATTTTTTTACTATTCTAGCTGCTTTGCATTTCTATATAAATGTTAGAATCAAAATTTCAATTTATATATATTTTTAAAAGCCTGTGATTTTAATTGCATTGAGTCTTTAGATCAATTGGAGGAGAATTAACATCTTAACAATATTAAGTCTCCCAGCCCATGATCACAATAAATGTCTAATTCCTTGTCTTAGACATCTTTTGTCTGATTTATCTCTAAGTATTTCATATTTTTCATAGTATCGTATATGGTATTTAAAGTTTTTTAAATTTCCAATTGATTGTTGCAACCATATAGAAATACAAATGATTTTGTATAACTGATCCTGTATCCTCCAAACTTGCCAAGCTCACTTACTAGTTCCAGTAGGGTTTTTTTTAGATTATCATGGACTTTCTACATACACTCATGTCTTCTGGGAAGGAAGTCAGTTTTACTTCTTCCTTTCAAATATGGTCATGTTTTATTTCTTTTTCTTTCATTACTGTACTGGTTAGAAGCTCCAGTACAATGTTAAATAGTAGAAGCAGTGAGAGCAGACATGTTTGTCTTGCTGAACTTATGGGGAAAACAGTCTTTCAACATTAAGTATATATTGACTGTTGTTTTTTCATACATATGCTTTATCAGATTAGTAAATTCCCTTCTATTCCTAGTTTGCTGAGAGTTTTTTAAATTACGGATGGGTGTCGAATTTTGTTAGACCCTTTTTCCGCATCTATTGAAATGATTATATGGTTTTTCTTTTTTAGGTTTTAACATAGTGAATTACATTGATTTTTTTAAGGTTAATATAATCTTGATTAATAAGATAAACTTCATTTGGTCATATGACTTTATACATTGTTAAATTCAATTTGCTAAAATTTTGTTTAGACTTTTTCCACCTATGTTCATGAATGATACTGGTTGTTTCTCTTTTCTTGTGTGTTCACCTGGTTTTGGTATCAGGACAATGCTGGCTTCATAGAATGAGTTGGGAAGTATTCCAACCTTTTAACTACAAATTCAACTTCATTAATAAATGTTGGGTTGTTCAACTTCTCTGTATCTTGAGTGAGCTTTGCTAATTTTTGTCCTTCAAGGACTTTTTATTAGCATAAAGTTGCTTCTTATATTTTTATTATAAATCGGACAATACCTCCTTTCTCATTTCTGATATTGGTAATTTGTGTCTTCTCTCTGATTAGACTAGTTAGAGGTTTATCGTTTTTATTGATCTTCTCAAAGTTCCAGCTTTTGTTTTCACTGATTTCTCTCTATTCCTTTCTTCAATGTCATTGATTTTCTTTGTGCTCTTTATTATTCCTTTTATTTACTTAGGGCTTAATTTGCTCTCTTATTTCTGGTTTCTTTAGGTGAGAGCTATGTATGCAACATGTCCTTCTATGCAGTAATTATAATTATTGTTATAATGACCTTTTCTGCCAGTTTTAACATCTGTCTTGGTTGTTTTCAGTTGCATTTTTTTTTCCTCATCATAGATCATATATTGAAAAGCCTGGTAATTTTTGGTTGGATGCCAGACAGTGTGCATTTTATGATGCTGAGTGCTGGATATTTTTGTATTCATGTAACTATTCTTGATATATGTTCTGGGATACATTTAACTGGAAACAGTTTAATCTTTTCAGATATGGCTCTTAAGGATTTGTTAGGTGGGAATGGAATGGTGTTCAGTCTAGCACTAACTATTCACCACTACTGAGATAAGACCTTTTTGTGTACTCTACACAATGCCCCTTGAATTATGACGTTCAAGTCTGACTGATAAGAGCAGACACTATTTCCAACCCTCTGTGACTGCTGGGCACTGTTACCTTTAATCTTTTCAGCTCGTCCTTTTTCCAGCCTCAGGTAGTTTCCTCATATGTGCTGATCAGTACTCATCTGAATACTCAAGTGGAACCTTTGCAAATCTCCAGAGTTCTCTCTCTGTACATCTCTCTCCCCTAAGGTTCTCTGTCCTGTGAACTCTTGCTGCTTTGGACCCCTGAACTCTTAGTTCCTTGTCCTCAATTTAAGGTACCTACCGGGCTGTGACTGAGTTCCCCTTCCCTGAGTTAACTCTTCTCTTCAATCAAGTCTCTGCTGAAATGTCACCTCCTCAGAAAGACTTTCTTTGATTATATTATCTAAAGTAGTACAGCTCTCACTCCCCTCTTCACTCTATTTTAGCATGTGTTTATCTTTTAATTGTCCATCTCTCCTCACTATAATAAGCTTCATTCTGATCTTAAGTATGTCCCTAACAGAATTTTATGCTCATATATATTAAATAATATATACAACAAAGTTCATAATAGCCCCAAACTGGAAACAGCCCATATGTTTACCAGTACTACACAACAATGAAAATGAATAAGCTATAGTACGTACTGTAGCGTGGATGCATCCCAGAAAGAATATGTTGACAAAAGGAGCCAGATACAGGATTCTTCATGCTATTGAAGAAGGCAAAACCAAACTATAATGTTAGAATTTGGAAAAATGGTTCCTTTTGGGATAGAGGTTTTGCTTAGTAGGAGGGCCAGCGTGGCCTTCTGAGGTTCTTTTTTCTTGAGCTGAGTGGAGAAATTGAGTAAAATTAATTGAGTTCTAGGTCAGATACTGTCTTCTCTGTAGACCCTTCCCTAATTCCTTAGAAAAAGTCAGTTCCTCCACCTTCTCTGACCCAATATTAGAATAATTATATTGTAATTATTACATTTTTCAAGGGAAGGGGGTCATCTTTTGTTTTTTTAATTTAAGTATTTTGACTGGCGTATAGTAGGTGCTCTGGAAACATTTTCTGATGAAAGGAATGAGCAAATGCAGGAACTTGTAATGAACAAATAAGCTGAGGGCTTCTGCCTTCCAGTCCTGTGCCTCCTTCATTGCCTGTTTCTAGTTGAGGGTAGGGAGATTATCTCACGTTGTATCTGGAGAGCCAAGGCTTGTTGGCATCTGTTTGTCGTTAGAGAAGAAAAGTGTTGAGACTTTTAGGTAAGCTGGTGGTCTCAGACAGGAGGTAGAATGAGATTGGACTCCTGAGTTTTGGTAACCCTGTAGCTAAAGGAACAAGGATGCCTCTGCCTTCTGGTTATGAGTGGCTGTAGGGAATAGGATGTGACTTGGCTTATTCAATAGGCTTTGCCAAGAATATTTTCTTCACAGGTTTATGGAAGGACCCAATAAAGTTATCTGCTATCATTACAGATCTGTTTGCTTTGTAGGGTTTTGTTCCCCCAACACAAAAATTTTGTTAAACCATGGTACTATAACTAAACAGAGTACTCTTTGTTCCTTTTAATTTTGAAAATTTCAATAAACATAAACTTGGAAAGGGTAAGAAAATGAGGATGAATAGAGCTTACAAAGCAAATTGTATAGATCCTATGAAGGAAATTTCTTCTAAGTTTGTCCTTACTGGAAGTGCCTGGACCTCAGTGAAGATTTAGCTGAGTTCCAAATGATGCATCTAAATTTCTATGCCAGGTTTTATTAAGGAACCCAGAATAGCATCTGTTCACTTTGAAAAGAATTCTGCTAATTCATCAGTGTCTTAAAATTTTAAATGTATAGTTTGATTAACATATTTTTATTGGCACATATAGTCATTTCCTTTTGGCTAATACTACTGTGAATGTGTGTCTTTCTGTAGCTGTGGTGCTCCCATTCAAGTTTCCGAGGTGAAGCTGCTTTCCTTTTCATCAGGGCAACTAACAGTTTTCCTCCCTGCTGAGGTGAAGGCCATAGGGACAGAGAAGGATCACATCCTGCCTCTGCAAGAGCTGGCCATGAGGAGTCTGCATCACACCTACCACAGTTTTCTAAAAGGTACCCGGGACTTTTTTCTTTTCTTTCCTTTCCTTTCCTTTTCTTTCCTTTTCTTTTCTTTTCCTTTCCTTTCCTCTTTTCTTTTCTTTTCTTTTTTCTTTTCTTTTCCTGCCTCTTATTCAGTGAGCTTAGGAATTGTGTTTTATGTTGTTTTAGTGTTCATTTTTCAAAATTGTGGTAAAATGTACATAACATAAAATTTACCATTTTAACCATCTCTAAGTGTTCAGTTCAGTGGCATTAAGTACATTTGCGTAGTTGTGTAATGGAACACTTTTTATAAGAGAAAAGTTTTAATATTTTATTTTAATATTAATATTTTATATTTTAATATTAAAATATTTTATCAACACTGAGCCCTTCAGCACCCCCTATAGACACAGAGAAGCATTCACTAAATATGGTCTTCAGTCACAAAGAACAGAGGTTAAAAGTTAAACTATGCAGTTTAAATGAGAGAAATTGGTGTTTGGGAGCACATATTTGGTGGAAATGAGAAGGCTGGCAGAGGTACTTTCTTCCGTATCGAAAAATGTGCAAAGATCTTATCCTTAAAGCAAAGTTGGGTACTTCTTCCAACAGAGCAAGTTTTTGCCTTGTAACCTCCTTACTCCTGAGAAATATATATACCTAAAGGGAAATTAATTTCAGGAGCCTTTGGCAGTGTTACCACAGGATTTGGCGGTGTGTAGATGTCATAGGTGACATGGAGTGGACCTGTGATGCTTTAAGAAAGCACTAGGCAACATTAATAAGAAAATAATTTCAAGTGCTTTTAAAACTACTAAATGTTTTGTCTTTGCTTTAAAAAAAAAAAAAGATGCATACAGAAACCTCTAACATTAAACATCCAGGAATGTCTAATACAAATTAAGTTGTTTTTAAAAACTAAACAGAAAACTGAAATTATTCACCTATGAGCAAATTACATTTTTCAAAATGGTTATTGATAAGTCTGGACAGATATAAAAGATGATAAGATAATTTGTATTTCCTTCCTCAAGATGATTCAGTGATTTTTAGGTGTCACCTCATCATGACCGTGTCTCTCTCTAGATGTTTTACTCTCAGTAGCAACCCAGTGTACATTTGTGCTCAGGATTGCCTGGGCCATTGGGATGTTTTGCTTTAAACGTTTCTTTTGTGTAACTCAGACTAAACTGAGGAGGAAACACCCTATTTTTATTAGTGACAGCTCATGGGAGTGAGACAAGGAAAAGCTTGGTTTCATTATTTTTCATTTTCTTTGATTTTTTTGTTTCCCCTTTTCATTCTTTTCAGTAAATATAATTTAGCTTGAAAGATTCTAAATGCCCAATAGATTTAGGAAGAATTTAATGAAAGTCTGTTTTAGTCTTCAGTCCCAGTCTTTTTTTTATTCTCTGTCTCTTATAGAAGTTTACAGACCCTCCCTCGGTAAACGTAATGCCTTTTCAGTCTTTGTTCTTAAAGAATATTTGGTCTTATTCTTTCCTGGCCTCTATCTCAGCACAGCTCAGGTTGCTCTTAAAAGAGTAGATTAAGGTTTTCTCTTAGTATCAAAAATGTAAAAAAGCATCTTTCATTTCCAAATAATGTTACATTTTTATTCAATGCCTATCGGATAACAGAATTTTCAACATGCAGTACTTTTCACTAACTGAACTTATTTGCTAACAATAAGAAATATTTTAAGAAGCCAAGTTTAAGGAAATCTCATTTTTTATTTGTGCATGATTTTCTCTTGTGTTCCAGATCTGGACTTTCTGTCTCCAGTCTCGTTACCCAGAAGTCTTCTGGAGCTGCTGCACTGCCCCTTGGGGCACTGTCACCGGTGTAGTGAGCCCATGTTTACGATTGTTTACCCCAAGCTATTTCCCTTGAGAGAGACGCCAATGGCAGGACTGCACCAGGGGTAATCATTCCTAAGTGGACACCAGGGCTTACACCTGGGGGAGGGGTGGGAACGTGGGGAAGGGTGGAGGACACACATAAAAGTGTTGGTAAGTCAGCAGCTTTAAAGGGGCATAGAATGCTTCCTGCCATACAGCTAAATGAAACAAATGCACATTTTCAGTATCACAAGAAAACTGGATTTCTCTTTATTACATTTTTGGTCTTATACAGAACGGTTTTATTGTATATGTTATTTAGAGTAGCTCATTCTTTGTAGGAGTGTTTTCCTGCTGTTTCCCTATTCACAATAGTCTTTAGGCAATAAGGAATGTAAGAACAAAATATTTGTTATATAATGGTTCCAGCTCAGCTCTTCTGTTTAATTCGCATTGCTAACTGAAAGTGTGTGGCTGAGCATTGTGTGTGTGTGTATTTCTGTTTTGAATTTCTAACCCTTCCAAATAGCATTCTCTTACCACTGTCTGTTTCTTGGCACAGTGCCTTGAATTTGCTAAGAATGTTAACTAAGTAAAACCCCCCATTCTGGTAGTTTATTAAAAGAATATCAGACAATTTAAAAATAGGACATGAAATGAAAAAATCCCCCATTAGCACAGTCTCAGCTTATAGATTTTCTAAATTTAGGATCTTCTAAGTTCACATTTTTCAAAGATGAAAAAAAATACTATAATACCTCACTTATCCATCAAATGTGGTATTTTGGGTTAGTACATTTTTCAGGATAACTGGTTACCCCTATTCAGTCCTAGAAGCGTTTCCTTTATAATCATTTTTGTAGAATGAGAGCAAGCGTGGGCAGGGTGCTGAACCTCTCAGAGCCTCAAAATGAGGAAAGAACAGCCTGCTGGGCAGGGCCATCTAAGGATTAGCAGATGATGAAGGCAAACACTTGGCATATAATGGGTGCTCGGCAAATGGTAGTTACCTTTTCCATCTCTCTACCCACTCCTTCCCAAAACTGCATTTGTCTTTTTCTTACCCTGAATAATCCTATTTTGCTATACTTTCAGTTCCTGTTTCAACTTTCTGTGTTTTTAATGTTTCCTGCTTTACTGTGCCTGCCTACAGAAGCCCTCCTCCAAACCTTGCTAATCTGCTACTTCTGATCAGAGGTGATCAGATCACCAAATTTAGTAAAATCCATTTTAAATTAGAGTTGAAAGGACTGAGTCAGGATTTGAGTATGTTACTACATGAATAAAAACTAATAAAATAGGCACATCTATGAGGAGCAGTAGGGAATATCGGTCAAGTGCACAGGCCCTGATTCTGACTTTCCCCTGGGAGACCTTGGGCAAATTACTTAACATCTCTGAGCTTCATCTTTTCATCAATAAAATGAGCATAGTAATAATATCTATTTAATAAGGTCATTGTGAGGATTAAATGAGATCATTTATGTAAAGAGCCCAGGATGGTGTCTGGTATGTAATAAATATTAAGTGACTTAACTATGATCTCTTTTTGTAGCTCAAAGACTTTTAAAAATTTATTTTATATATGTGTCTTTAGCAAATCATCTTCATATTAGTAAGATATCATCATAGGAAAATCTTCCATTAAACTACAGTAAAATCCTGCTGCATTGTTGTTGCACAATTTCCTATAGAAGATATTTTCTTACTAAAAATATGAAAATGAAAACAATTCAGTATGGTAAGGATGCTCTGTTAGTAGCTGATAAAATTCTAAATACCTGTTTGAAAAGATAAACTTTCTTTCTATCATGGTAATTAATTTGTGCAAATAAAGTAGATCCCTTAAATGAAGATATTTTTGTGTTATCTTTATATGAAATTTGGGAAACTTGTTCAATAAGTATTTGCATATTTACTGCTACTTATTTCTCTGCTTAAACCTAGAAATTCAGTATGAATATCTTATATTGCTTTAGAACATAAAATATAATAGTGTTAGTTTAATAAAATGAGTGTATCAAATACATAGGACTTAGGCAATGCCCTTTTGTTAAGAAAAGCCAGAAGTGCCCACGTTAATAGCAAAAAATGAAATACCAAGATACAAACATGGCTTTCTGTGGCGAGTTAATGCTAAGATCTGAAACTGAGAATTTGTGTCTTTCATTTGGTCCACCAGACTTTGCTCCTTCCCACGTTGCTATGGAGATTGTGTTAAAAACTTTGACTTCAGTTTCTACCATAGTTTTTAAAGTACTTTCTTTTGTAATTGAAAACCAAATACTTGAATCTCAATAGCTTATTGCTAAAAATAAAATCAATATTTTTAGTATCATAAACTCTAAAAGGTCTTGATAATATTATTTTTAAGTTTTCTAATATATTCTGTTCAGTGTTCATTGCTTCTTATAAAATAATACACTGTATCAGCCAATATCTAAATTAATGTGGACATCTGTCATTATTTTAAAAGAACATACTGAATATTCTTCTAAAATACCAAGTCCCATACGAGTGTTAGTTCCAACTTAAATTTAATACAGTCAATTAAAAAGAAATTACAGTATTTTGCATAAATAGTAAATACCCAAATCTTCAAATATTTATAGAAGAGAATAATGGCTAGTATGTTCATAACTTTTGATCATGACAGGCATAGCAAATTTTCATTCCCCCAGATTACTGTTCATTTTTTTAAATGGAGAATGTCAACTCATAGGATTATTTATTAGTATAACGTGTGTCTGACTTTTCCCACACATGTATGCATCTCATAAGTTTTGTATTTCCCAAGGTTTTTCAAGGGTATTTTATGAGTTTCCTAGGGATACCTCAACAAAATACCACAAAACTGGGTGACTTACAGAGCTTCTATAGATATTGTCTCAGAGCTCTGAAGGCTAGAAGTCTGAAATCAAGATGTGGCAGGATTGGTCCCTTCTGAGGGCTGTGATGGAAGGATCTAATCCTTGCAGATGGCCATCGTCTCCCTTCTTCTCTTCACATCATCTTACCTCTATGTGTGTCTATCTCAGTGTCCAAATTTCCCTTGTTTATAAGAACACCAGTGACATTTCAATAGGGCCCTCCCTAATGACCTCATCTAACTAATTACACTGGCAATGACCCTGTTTCCAAATAAGGTTACTGTATTACTCTGCTAGGGCCACCATAACAAAATACCATAGGCTGGGTGACTTAAACAACAGAAATTTAATTTCTCACAGTTCTGGAAGCTGGAAGTCTGAAATCAGGGTGCATGTGGTTAGGTTGTGCTGAGGGCTGTCTTCCTGATTTGAAGATAGCTGCTTTCTTGCTGCCTCGGGTGGCAGAGAACACGAGCACACATGTTCACAAGCTCTCCAGTGTCTCTTCTTATAAGGGCACTAATCCTATCATGAGGGCCCCACCCTCATGAACTCATCTAAACCTAATATCTCCAAAAGGCCCCATTTCCAAATACCATCACATTGGAGATTAGGACTTAAAATATGAATTGGTGGCAGGATGGGGGGACACAATTCAGTCCATAGCAGTCACATTCTGGGGTTCTGGGGATTATGACTATAACATGAATTTGGGGGAGATACAGTTCAACCCGTAACAGTCTGTCCTCCCAAAATCCATGTCCTTCTCAGATGCAAAATAAATTCACTCCATCCTAACACCCCCCAAATCCTAACCCATTCCAGCATCAACTCTTAAGTTCAGAATCTCATCTTAAGTATCTAAATCAGGTATGGATAAAACTCAGGTATAACTCGCCTTGGGACAAAACTCCTCTCCATTTGTAAACCTGTAAAACCAAACTGGTTATCTGCTTTCACTGTATATTGGTGGGACAGGCATAAGATAGACATTCCCTTTACAGAAAGGAGAACAAGAGGTTCCAAAACTTAAAAGGGCAAATTCCATTAGATTTTAATGCTTGAGAATAATCCTCTGGCTAGATGCTCTGTCCTTTAGGCCCACTGGGGTGGTGGCCCCACCTCCTCAGCCCTAAGTGGGGCCCTGCTGTCTAAAACTAAGGAAGTTGCCCCATCCTCTGGAATTGAGGAGGTGGCCCCATCCCCGGGGTTATTCTTCCCTTTACTTGATAGCTTGTTTCCTGCCTGTAGAATCCCAGAAGGCTGACAGCATGTCTTCACCCTGTCCCATCTCTGTCCTCTTTGATCCAAGCTGTCAGCCTTTCTGCTGAAATGGTTGACTGGATCCACAAGTCACATGCCTAATCTCTTTAGAAAATGTTGTCCAGCCACATCCTTGGTGTTCTCTCCAGAACGTGCTTTCTCATTTTATACAATGTAGATAGCCTGAGAATTTTCCATATCCTCAAGTTCTGGTTCCTTTTTGCTGAACAATTCCCTCAATTTATCTTCCTCCTCTCACATTTTACTGTAAGCAGCAAAGAGAAACCAGGCCATGCCTTCAATGCTTTGCTTAGAAACATCCTCAGCTAAATATAGGCATACCCATCTTTTTGTGCTTCATTTTATTTCACTTCACAAATATTGCACTTTTTACAAATTGAAGGTTTGTGGTAACCCTGTGTCAAGAAAATCTATTGGTACCATTTCTCCAACAGCATTTGCTCACTTCCTGTCTCTGTGTCACCTTTTGGTAATTCTCACAATACTTCAAACTCTTCATTATTATTATGCTTGTTATGGGGATCTGTGATCAGTAATCTTTGATGTTACTACTACAGTTCACTGAAGGCTCAGATGATGGTTAGCATGTTTAGCAATAAATTATTTTTAAATTAAGGTATATACATTTTTTTAGACATAATGCTATTGCATACTTAATAGACTGCAATATAGTGTAAGTATAACTTTTATATGTACTGGGAAACCAAAAAATTTGTGTGACTTGCTTTATTGCTGTATTTGCTTTATTGCGGCAGTTTGGAATTGAGCCTGCAATATCTCTGAGGTCTGCCTGTATCCAAGTTCATCACCTAGCAGTTCTATTTTCCATCCAACAGAACACAATTCAGTCAAGTCCTCTGTGCTTTATAACAAAGATCATCTTTCTCTCATTTTCCAATAACACATTGCTCATTTTTGTCTGAGACCTC